CAAGACTGGTGCTATAAAAAAAAAAAAAAAAAAAATATAATACATATCAATTCTGTATTTAATCTTCTTTAAAGTAGTCCCTTTCTGAAGCCACACACTTTATCCAGCATCATTTCCATTGATACAAGCATTCTTAGAACACCTCCTTTGGCATAGCAAGCAACTACCTCATTGTATTCTTTTGGATTGCTTCAATGACTTGAACTCTTATTCCTTTCAAGTGGGATTTAATTTTTGAAGTGGAAATGGTACAAGGTGTGAGATTTGGGGAATATGGTGATTGTTGAACCTGGAGAATGTTGTCCTTGGCCTAAAACTCCTGCACAAGCCATGGTCACTGATGGAACCTCTGTGGTGTAGTGCGGTGAGATGACCACACTCTACACACTTTCCTTCCAAACACCGATACAAACAATGGAAGCAAGCAATGTTATAACTTAGTGTGCATGCATGATAGAGTTCAGGGTCAATCTGTGCCAAGCAGCTTCACTCTGCAGACTTTAGCCTTGTTATAGCAGCAGTCCATTATTTACACTATTATTTGGACTATTGTCCTCATCTTTGTCGCCATATTTATTACAACATTTCGGCCGTTGTATGCTCTGGCCTTCTTCAGATGGTTGGAATGTCAAACTGAACCCTTTATTTTGCTCACTGGGGTAGACTGTTCTAGTTCCACATGCCTAGTTTAATAGATGTCAATTATCAGTTATCTCCTGTTAATTTCCCTCTGAAAGTTCTCCACTGCCTTAACTGAGTATTGAACTCACTCTCTTTGGGTCCTGTCACTGGATCTAACTAAAGGACATATGGCACAGTGGATAACAGGAGATAACTGACATCCATTAAACATGGCATGTGGAACTAGAACAGTCTACCCCAGTGGCTAAAATAAAGGGTTCAGTTCTACATTCCAACCACCTGAAAAAGGAAGGAAAATATAATGGCTGAAACGTGTAATAAATATGGCGACAAAGATGAGGACAACAGTCTGAATAATGTAAATAATGTACATAATACCTCATCTCAGAAATATAGACAGCAACAGTCAGGATACTTTTTGATGAGACCTTGTATATCTCCCACATAATAAGACATTAGTGACAATGGTGTCATCATCTAGCTAATGTCCTACCATTACGTGGGAGGTATTTCTGCCACACCCTCTATATTTACTTCCTTCCAGACTCTTTGTCTCTCTTATGTACAAAGACTTTTATATTTTAACTCTTGACACTTTAACTTTCACCTGACCCTTCTGTATTATTATATTATGATATATATAAAGATTTAATCTGTATTTTTTAACACTGTGGATTTTCTTTTAATCATTACACAAAGCCAATATACACCTCAAACAATTATACTTATAAATGATGAGAACGGATTTGTTGTATAATTCATCCATAACTGGTAATCTAACCACTATAAAATCATTAAGAAAATAAGATAAAGGAGGACATAGCATTATAACTCAATTTGAATTTGTCTGCTAGTGGGTTTCCCCAGCTACATTGTTATGGCATTGTCTATATCAGATTGGCTCCCAAGGATAGAAAATTTGAGTGCAAATCCCATGGGAAAGAACCCATTTATTCCCAATCCATTCTGTAGAATATAAAACGACCTGAGTCTTGCAATAAAAAACAATGAAAATAACATTAAAGGTAAATCAGTGTAAAAATTAATAATAAAGAAATAATGACTTGGCTACAAAAAAAAACAAAAAATAAAAAAATAAAAAAAAAACGTAAATACTAAGTAGCTGAAAATTTCTCTTGGTAAAACTTTTTACCTTTTAAAAATATTTTACTCTAGATTAAGTAGAGACACACCTCACTTCCCAACAACTGAGTTTTGAATCATGCATTTTTTTTTTTTTATTTTTAAACTGTAATAGCCTTTTACAAGAAATAAACTCTTAAAACCACAAACTGAAAACAGTATGAACAATGAAACTTATACAATAAAGTATTTCTGTAATCTTAGCTTTTACATGAAGACTATGAGAAGTATTAATGTTAGTGTAAACCTAAAAGAAACCATTGTCTGAATAGTTATTCTCCAATTGTAGTAAAATAGATAAGACAAAACTATAATTGTTATGATTTTATTGTTTACTACACTATACATTCAAGTTTTAATAAAAATTCTTATATAATGCGTTGTATAATGTGTAAAATCCACTTTCTCAAAGTCAAAGTCTAGAAAAGAGGCACATTATATGCCTGCTTGATTTCGTTTTTTTATGGTTTATCAACTGTTTTGGAGTTATTTCATTCTGAAACATATTTTGTATTGTAAGAATAATTCATTTTTTGAATATCTTTTTTTCAGATACAAGTCATACTATTTAACCCATAGCTGAAGGGAGGAAATGGATTCATACATTTCTCAAGCATATAAATGGGTGAAACAAACCCAATTATAATTTGAATTTGGTTCTCTAATTTCTCATTCTGTGCCACTATTCATTACACCACCCACACATCCACATAATACATGTAGAGTAGTTTTTAGTGGCAAGAAAACATTCTGTTACTGTGGCAAAATAATTTTCTTTGAGAGTGAAGGCAACAGGCATGAATTGTCAGAATTCATTGATAACAGAATTCACCAATAATATTGAAGAAATTTATCTAAGCAGTTGTATTTTATTAATTATTAACAACAGGTATTTTCTTGGAAAAGATTAAAGTTGTATTATTGATTACAAAGAAATTTTACTAGAAGATAATAAAAACAAGAAATTATGATAATTGATGGTAGAAAAAAAAAAAAGAGAGAGAACATATATCATGACAGGCAAATAGTTTAGAATGGGAAATATACAAATTGTGGTTAATGAACAAAGAGAAGGATTATCTGCATTATTGTTGGTGCTCTGATTACCATTAGTACTGAATTTCTAAATTGGCTGGAGACAATTGGGGTTAATGTCAAGATTGGACACTTACAGAAGAATGCACTCTTTGGGAATGCTCATATGACCTAAAGAGTTCTCAAATCTTGATGAAAATCTATCATCTCAGTCTATTGGTTCTGGACATTTGGTAGTTTGGTTCCTTCTAATATTCAGCAACAAAAACAACAACAATAATAATAATAATAATAATTGATGGTAGATAACTAAGAAAGAACATGCATCATCACAGATAATGCATGTCCCGGAGACAATAGACTAGTAAACAAAGAAGAAAAATATATAAACCATGATAGTTTAAAATGGAAAACCTGCAAACTGTAGCCAATGAACAAAGACGGAGTTATCCCCATTGCTACTGGTGTTCTGAGTAACCTTAGTACTGAATTTCCAAAATGGCTGGAGATGATTGAGGTTAATGTCAAGATTGGAAACTTACAGAAGATGCACTCTTTGGGAATGCTCATATGCCCTGAAGAGTTCTCAAATCTTGATGAAAATGTATCACCTCAGTCTATTGGTTCTGGACTGATGGTAATTTGGTTCCATATTCAGCAAAATTAGCTCTGTTTGCTGATCAAATAATAATAATAATAATAATAATAATAATGGAACACTTTCAACAGGAGATCTTCTCAATGGATGGGGTTACTTGACCTGAAAAAAATTTCTAACTAAGCCCATCTGTAAGGATATACATTGCTTTTATAAAAAAATGTCACTAGATATAGATGGTATACCCTTACCAGACTGAGTTTGATAATGGGTAATATTAGGTGTTGTTTATTTGCACCCCAGCATCACATTTTCACGTGATGATCTCTCATTCAATACCACTGAATGATGGTTTTTTATGGTTTATCAAACTTTTGTAGGTTATATAAAGCCAGAAAACATTTTGGGATTATCAGAATTTTTTTTAAAGATAATAATGATTTACTGTTACAAATCCTACTATTTAACTCATGGCTAGAGGCAGAAGAGGTGAATTCATACCTTTCCCAATTGTACTTTAGTGATTATAATGAACCTGACTCGAATTGGATTTCAGTTCTCTGATTTCTAATTCGAGGCCATTATCAAGTACACCAACAGAACATCCAAGCTTAGAACACCTGGTATTCCCAAGCAGTTACCTATCTGGATACTGACCAGGTTCAACTTTGCTTAACCTCAATGATCGGACAAAAACTAGTGTTACACAGTGATATGGCCATAAGCAAATAATAAAAGCTAGGTTGGGGTAATAGTTGTTGATTTTAATAAAATACTATTTACACAAAATATTGGTCACTCCAAAATATAGGCTTGAGGTGAACTCACAGCAAATGTGACTCACCTGATCAGTGGTTGTAAAATGGTAGCTCAAAAAGAATATAAGAGGTACCATGATAGGGTATGCCATTATGTACTTTGGTTATTGTCTCAAAAGCATGGATAACAAGTTGCAGAAAATTGTATGAGTTTGTGCCTTGCAGAACAATTGAAAAAGTTGGAAAGCCCATAATATTCTGTTACTATGATCATTCAGACAAAGTGAGGCTACATATATTATTGTGTTAGATAAAGGCACCAAGAACTGTTATATTGGTATGAATAAGTAACTTGTGGAATAATCAAAGGATTTATAAACCCCATAATATTCTGGTATTATGATCATTCAAAGTAATACACCATCACGCTCCATATGTTATTGTACTAGATAAAGGCACCAAGAACTGTCATATTATTGATGTTGTCATTCCAAATGACACAAATATAGCCAACAAGTTAATTCAAAAAATTACAAATTACTCTGATTGGAAAGTTGAGATAGCAAGATTGTTTGGAATGTGAGAAGAGAATGTCAATGTGATTCCAGTGGTGATTAGGATCAATCCCAGTAAAACTGTGTGACTTCCTTCCTTGACCAGCTGGGGAGACCATACCAACTTGGAGTCATCTAAAAATCAGCTCTTTTGGGCACTGTGCTGTATAAAGTACTGTCTGTCTGAGGACTTTGTTGTAACTTGATAGATAACTTAACATAACCAGGTGTATTTAAAAACGTACACCATGTGACAAAACATGATAATACTTACTGAATACTTTTTCCCTTCAAAGCTGTTATCTTGACACTTTCCTCGGTAGGTTCAAGAAATACTTGTAAGAAGCCATTCTGAAATTGAACAGAGACAAATTAAAATGCGAGGACAACATTTTACAACACTTGTCTACTCCAATAAGATATTAATGCCATGGACAAGCATTTCACATTAAACAAATCAAAATTGAATTACAAGAAAGAACATTAATTTTAACAATGACAACAACAATTGCTGTAAATACTGACTATTTGATTATCTTAGATGATATGAGTATTCATTTTTGCTCTAGTTCATGTCCATGTAAACGTCTGCAAATGCAAATTAACTGTAAGGTGCTGAATTCTGGGAAATATATTCCAATGTTCATAGCATTTAATTTAAAAGAGGGCTCAATAGAGAGTAGAGCAATATTATTTATTTTAGGATATTACATCAAAGACATGTAAAAAAAAAAAAAACACTACACAATTGCAGTCATGTTTCAATGCATATAAATGCATTTCATCAGGCAAGTGTAAATTTCTGGTGAGTGATTGATTTATTTAGATTTAAAAGCAAAATACAACCTCTTCTTACAAAAAAAAAGAAAAAAGCTGGGTTATAAAGTTTGTGGGCTTTACTCTGATCAACCAATTGAATATGACTTACATTAAATTTAAACTAAGTGAAAAGAAAAAATTAAAAATTATTTTTTATAAATGGGTCATGACCCATAGATTGGCAGCTAACGGCAGCCAGACATAAACTAAAGTGGTTACATATGGTTACATAAATTATACAAACCAAACAATGCAGTTTCCTAAGAAATAAAAGTGGGGTAGAGAGGTAATTTAATGAAATGTTAATAAAGTTACATGCTTTGTGAATTTATAACCTAGTTTATAACAATCTGATTACAATTTCAACAATATTCATTTATTAAAAAAGAAAAAAAATTCTTGATTACTCACTCACTTTTGTTCTAACAGACTTTGAATTATGGCACTTTGTGTCCACCACATATTTTGATTGACCTTTCAGCCAACTGATGAATATTCATGAACATTTTCAAATTTAAAAGCCTTGATAAACCAACGACACCCTTTCCTTTGTATATAAACATATGCAACAAAATAAATCCTACATTTGCCTTGATATAGTCCCTCAACTAAAAATAGTTTTTCTCATCGTTTTATTCACACACACGTGTGTGTGTGTGTGTGTATCTATAGAAAGAGGATAAAATGTAGTTTTAAGGTATGCTATATTTACAGGGTAAAAGTACAATATACAGGATGAAGAATGTGTAAATATAGATGTGGACAAACACCAAGTGGCAACAGTCTGTTTCACGCTTGAATGTAATTTTCAGGCCTATAGATTGCATCAAAGCATGTTGGATTACTGCCCCCTGATGATAATCAAAGGCAGCGAGATATTAAATTACTACACCCTGACAATAATCACAGGCATATGAGATTTGAAAGCTTCTTCCTCTTTTGCTTTTGACATTGGCAGCAACAAGATGTTCTCTTCTTGCTATGTTGGCTTGTAAGTACCACAGAAACACACACTGAAAGTTGCTTCCAACTTTTCACAACATTCATTTCTTATTTTCCTTTTTGCAACATATCTATTTAATATATTTATTAACACTTGTTGTTTAAATTCCATGTTTTAGTGATCTATTTTTCCTGGATTATTTTGGTCATTTGATTTCACAATGCTTTATTTTTTTTTTTTTAAATAAAATAATTATGGATGCTATATTTTAAAAAATAAAATGAATGAATGAATGAATGAGCACATGATGTGAGATGTAGTGCATTGGCCTTGATCTCGCATTTCAGTTTCAGTCACTTGCTCACCACTATAACATTGCCTCTCTGTGTCTTTTCTATAAATACTTTCATGGTAATTGTTCAGATGAGCTTCTTGCTATTGTACCTAGACTTTTTGAATTTAAGTGCAGTTGAGATCTCATCAATTGACAGTTGAGCTGGCCAGATGTAGCAGTAAGTTCTATGCTAACATTTTTCTTGCACTTGTGGAACTCACTTTTGGCTCCATGCTTTCCAGCCAACTTTAATCTGCAAAAATTTAAATGCAATGTCAATCTCTATCTACTGTCATCCTGATTACTCTTTTCTGTCCCTGCTTATTATTAATGCTTCTGTTCTTAATTCTTTCACACTCAGTAACCCCTTGTGTCTTAGTGGCTTTACTGTCTTGCATGGAGTGAAACTGGTTAAAAATAACCCCAGTGTATAGAATAATTTGTGTTAGTTTTCAGAAAATGGGATTATGTTACATGCATTGTTATGATATTTGGCCTATTTATTTAATGCAGTCAATAGATTTGCCACCATTTTCTTCTACTGATTACTATCTTTTGAGTAACATTACCAAGTAAAAAAGAATAAGTAAGACTACACTTTTTCCATCCAGATAGAAACACCTGAAAACAATAACTGAATAGATTGGAGAAAACACATCCATTAAAAAAAAAAAAAAAAAAAAAAAACAGAAGCAAGATAAAGAAGCAGTTTTTACAATGATTGCAACTTTAAATTAAAGCAGCTATTATTGTACAACTAAAGAAGGCCATAGAGTGGATTGGCCAGTGATAACAAAAGAATTCATAAAAATGAGTTCAGTTGTTCATACAATTCTTGCAATAATAGGAATTCATATTTAAATTATTAATACAAAAGGCATCAATAATGTCACCTTTGTGGCAATTTGATGATCAAATTCTCATGGATTCATGAAAAATTCATCTGAATTCTGTAAAATTTCAACACTATCAATACAGGTGAGAAATTAAGGAAATGGTACTAACCCCTGGTGTTCCTGGCAAACTCAAGTGCCTGTGTCCTAAGTCTGGAACTGTCTGTTCAGTGCACTGAAACTGTGCAGGCACAAGCAGACGGACATCGGACTGAATTTCCACTGCTGACAGACTCTTGCTCCGTGTACGGTCCTATAAGAAACAAAAAAAAAATTAAAAAAAGAAAATACCTACAGCACATTGACACTTACATTGGTTGTGACTGGTGATTTTCTTGTGGGATAAATGTTTAATCAAACACAGTGGATTCATTTAAACTGTATATTAAAATACACATTTAAATCAATAGAAAAGATTAGGCAAATATTGCAATGAATAAAATGTGCTGGTATTGTGTCTAGCGTGAATGTCTACCCAAATTTGAAATGGATAGAATATTGCAATGAATAAAGTACATTTTTGACTGTTCCCATTTCCTTTGAGTCTAAAAATGTCTAATCAAAAATCAACCCTGAACCCAGTATCATGATTCTTTAAAAAAGGCCTTTTGCCATGACACCCTTTTAATCGTCTTCCTCCAAATGACATGCAACAGCATTAATCCTCCATGTCTTTGTATATAAAGATACAATGGCATTAATCCTTGAAATTGTTTTGTATTCCTACATGCAACAGCATTAATGTGTAAAGAATAATGTGGCATTAATCCTCCAAATGTGTCAAACCTAGGGAATGTTAATTCCCTTGAAAACAAAAGGATAAAATAAGTAAAGCAAACAAGTACAATAAGAATTGTAACAGTTATGCACAAGGTTGTTTAAACAATCAGTTCAATGGGCATATTTTGCCTTGAAACCAGGCCGAACCCAAGAAATATAAACTCCCATAATGGATTTAACTCAACGAGGTTCCCATATAGTATGGCACACAGGTCTATGATTCTTCTTACTTCAAATTCCCAACTGCCACCTATGTGAACTGATTGTACAATTGCTTCTCCTTTCATCTAACCCCAACTGTGAATCAACTTTATATAGGGCTGCTATGTTTTGTTTCCGACAAAGTTCCACTTGATCTTTTAAGGTTTTTTTTTTTTTTCCTTTGCTCAACCCTGTTTTGAACCCCATCCATTTCAAGGCCTATCATCCAGCCATTAAAAAAAATCAGAAAAAATCCACACTTCATTCCCAGCTATAATTGTTCAGTTTTTTGTGTCAATAAAACGTCCGGTTGCCAATGGCGATAAACTACATCTGTGTCCTTTGGCGATAAACTACATCCAACAACAAGGCCTCAGGGATAATGTTTTTGAAAAAATAATGTTGCCAGCTATATGTTTTGAAACAATAATGTTGCCAGCTATACGTTTTTGAAACAATAATGTTGCCAGCTCCTACGTTTTTTTAAACAATAATGTTGCCAGCTATACTTTTTTTGAAACAATAATGTTGCCAAACTAATGTTGCCAGCTATGCGTTTTTGAAACAATAATGTTGCCAGCTATAAGTTTTTTTGTAAAAAATAATGTTGCCCGCTATACGTTTTTGAAACAATAACGTTGCCAGCTGTTCGTTTTTGAAACAATAATGTTGCCAGCTATACGTATTTAAACCATAATGTTGCCAGCTGTAAGTTATTGAAGCAATAATGTTGCCAGCTATACGTTTTTGAAACCATAATGTTGCCAGCTATACGTTTTTTGTAAAAAATAATGTTGCCAGCTGTACATTTTTGAAACAATGTTGCCAGCTATACATTTTTGAAACAATAATGTTGCCAGCTATACGTTTTTGGAATCATAATGTTGCTAGCTATGCGTTTTTGAAACAATAATGTTGCCAGCTGTACGTTTTTGAAACAATAATGTTGCCAGCTATACGTTTTTTATTCCATACAAAATAGGCATTTAAAATTCATATAAACTGGATTTGGCATTAAATAACCCACAGTGGTTGATGTGCCATAAAACCCAAACAAACAATGTGTCGGCAAATATGGTATTTAGTTTATGAAGTTTTCAAAAGTTTCAATGTTTGCATATCTTGAAAAGCAGCAGAAAAATCTAATCTTTTATTTAGAATTGGGAGTAGCTTTGTTTTTAATAAAGGGTAAAAGTTTATTTAAAAGATTACAAAGGAAAGTACAAAGAGGTGACGTCTTGTTAATAACAATGTATATGGGAGGTGCCTAAAAAAACAACATCACAAGTTAACCCAAGCCTTGTAAGTAAAAATGGTTGAACAATAATATCTGGAAACCATAAGTAGTTGTGTAAGCACAAAATCACAAGTTATTGTGATTGAGGGTTTGAGCATACTGGCCTTGTTTAACTATTGATCATACTAGATTAGTTGGTCTCTCCCAGAATCTGTAACTACACTCAGAACAGTTGCAATAGAAACCAGAGTTTGGTTCTGTGGATGTTGACAAAACAACTGTTCCTGAGCAGGCATCTGCAACAGGGACTAGCTAGGTATCTTAGTGGATAGGTATTCTCAGAAATGAACAGCCAGATATTATAAAGTTACAAAAGTGTCCTACAGAGTTATTACTAGCTATAAATACAAAAATGTACTGAAAAGTTCTTAATCCAACTAAGAAGCCATTATGACCAAAATTCTGATGTTTGGTTAGATTTTGGGAATTGGGTCAGATTGAGAACTTTTCAGTTTCTCTTCAAAGAGATGAACATTTATTAAAATAATTACAGTTAAATCAGAGAACTGAATCAGGAGAAGCAAAGGATATACTGTATTTACTTACATATACAACATGTTTAAATAAATGAAAATAATTATGCAAATATTACAAAGCATCTAATATGCTGGTATTATGACTAGAAGGACATCTACCAAAGTTTGAAATAGACAGCTATGAGTCATGGATAAGTTGTAGTGGGCATTAATCCTCCAAATATCCTTGTAAATCATGCCTTATATCCTGGCAAAAATATTAAATAACTGATTTGGTATCAGGATGTGCAGATGGTGCAATGTTTAAACAATTGGAATGTGGAATTGGTGAGCCATGTTCAAATTTCAGGTGAGTTACATTCACTTTTGCACAAAAACCCTTGGAGATGGTATGACTCAATCTCTTCTCTTCCAAATTATATGTTAAATAGGACAGAGTGGGGGCCTTCAACCTTGGTTGGTAACCAATCAAGGAGAAAGACAATTCTAAATTCAAAACCAGATGGACATGGAGAAAAGCAAATCCATTCCATAAAACCCCACTTGCAACAGAAACCACAGCAGCAGCTGTGGCCCAATACTCTGAGTATGCAAGTGAAATTTAACAACATGAAGTAGGCAATGATGTTGATAATGATGACTCAAAGTTTGACAATTTTGTCTATATCTAATACTTGAAAATCTCCTGAAACATAAAATGCATCCTCATATGTTAAAATTAAATGCTCTCCAAATATAAGGCCCAAAGCCCACTCAAGGCAGAGGATTACTGAATTAAGTTATTATATGGATGTAAAAGGAGGAAGTAAGTGTAGATTATGAGGATATGTTGGCCATAGACTTGAACAGCTTTTAAGTCTGTAGTAATCACAGAAACATCCTCTTGTCTGGGAGTCTGTTCCTTAAAATAGCAACCCTTGGGAAGAAGCTGTCAGAATGGAACTTTGTACCAATGGACTATGAAAGGAATAAGGCCAAGTTGATCCAGTATATATGGCATATCCTCGCTGTAAAGGCCTGAAATGGTGGAACTAAAGAATGTAGGCCATCTGAACATTTGTCATGGAAATAGCAAAGAAAATAATTGCCTCCAAGGCTGCATAAGCAGTTTCAAAGTATGTCAAGGCTGGAAAGTGATAAATGGAAATTTTTAATCTGACTTCCGTAAAGATAGAACATTGCAGGAGAAAGAGCACAAAAAACTGGCCACTTTTCCATAAATCTTCAAGGATGGATTGTATATACAAGTGTAACATGTTGTTGTAGAGTAGTTTCACAGTGGAGGCTTGTATTTCACTAAGTTGGTCCTAAAAAGGTTCAACGTAAAAAACGTTAGGAACTTGATATGATAGGTAATGATGCAGCAATCTAGTTGTGGTGGCTGATACTTTAATATCCGACTAACAGTTGTCCGACATCGACTGACTGACCCACTCACTGAGCGACTTAGCTACTACTCCTACTTATTATAGGTGGGAGAGTCTATTAACTATAGAATAAGTGTGTTCCACTATAACACATGTACAGTTTATAATATGGAAAAGGAAAGGAACAAAATCAAAAAATCTTATGTAGAAAGTAAATTTAAGAAGCAAATAAAGACAAGAGAAAGTATGGAAGACTTTAAAGGTCATAACTGAGTGATAATGGAATGTTGCATGTTTTACACAATCACTTTGATAGGACTTTTTTTTAATATTTGCAGTAAAATAACCATTAATATTTATGCTCTTAATGCAAACTACAAATTGAAGATGTCAAAATCAAGCAAGTATGAAAATTTAAATATCTGGAAAGTATTTTGAGAGAGGACAGAAAATGTGGACACACACTTGAGTGTATACTACATTAAGATATGTTTTCTCTCATATAACTTAGTTTAATAGAAACACATTAAAACTAATTTATAGCTGCAACAATAATCTTAAGATCATAAAGTTATACAACAATAAAACTCTAAACCAATTTAATAATTTTAATCATAATACAAGTTCCAAGGAAAATATTGTTAAGGATATTGGCCAATGTAACTGTAGGAATCCTGACCAATGCCCATTAACAAATAAATGTTTAACTAAATCTCTTGTTTATCTTTGTTTTATCTCTACAATAGAAGATCCGACGGTTGAAAAGTTCTATATTGGTCGTACTAAGAATTCTTTGAAAACTGGGTGGTATCAACATATCTTGTCCTTTACTAATAATACTTATAGAAATAATACACCACTTTCTAAATATTTTTGGAGTTTGAAAGACAATAATAAAACTCCTCAGGTGAAATAGAAAATTTTAAAAATGGAAAGAGCATGTAGATTCTTATATGAATTCTGTTTTCTGTGTTTACACGAAAAATTGCAGGTTATCAAGATCTTTGATAAGAATGCTTTATTAAACCAAAGATCCGAGTTAATGGTAATTTGTAAACACAATCTATCATTTACCTTACAATTCAGTTAGACATGGAATTTGACAATACTTTTTCTTAGATTTTAGTTGAAC